TGCCAAGGGCTGCTAAAATATGTATTGCTTACAACAAGGAGAAAACCATATGTGCAAGCTTATGGGCCTAGCATCTTGGAATCAGGAATATCAATATGAAATAGTCATACAAAATATATTAATTGGCTTGTCTCCAATGTTAGTATAACTTAAGTTATACATGAATGAATGTGTCTAAAATATTTTGTCTGAATAGATTGTCCATACATTTTACTGACAGATGATGCTGTGACTGTAGGCCAGATTCCTGAACTGAAGCAGCTCACAGAAATTAGGCACACAGAAATTGAACACAGACAAAAGTTATGGATATTTTATTAAGGAGAAATACAGGCACCTATAGAATCACTCCAGAAAAATCACATGAATGCAAAAATGTTGCATTGGAACTATTTGCAAATTCCACAGTTTGGATCATGGCAGGGGGTGGGTGGGTGGGTAGGCGGGTTAGAATTTCTGGCCAAAACTCATGTCATGTTCTGACCCATGTGCAGATATTTTTTCAGAATCCAGAAAAGAGAATTTCTGCCTTGAAATTTCTTGTTTGAACATAGGTATTTTGTCTTGGATTCTGCTTCTTCAAGACTGTTCTGAAAATTCTGGGTTTGAAAGGGTTACTTGCAGACTGCTGCAGACTCTGCCTAGCTCTGCCTCCACAGGACCACTTACAGCTGGTTTGCCAGACCAGCAGAAATAGCTTGGACAGAGGTCTGATAAAACAGCTGACTAGCCTGGAAGCTCCTGCCTCTGCTCCTTTGGAAACAGACAGTCCTAGCACCCAGATATTATCACCATTGTTGCTTCTGAACTGGCTAACCCAATAGGAAAAAGCCCAATTTAATCTCGAGATGTTATTCATTTTTTCCTAACAGTGTGAAGTACAGTGAAGCAGGCCTGCCTCAGCGAGTTAAGGCATCCAAAGAGTCTAGTGGGGCAGTGAGGCAGAGGAAGGGAGGTAAATCATCACAGTCACCCTCTGGGAAATGACTCACTTCTGTTGACTTTTCCCAGCATGACAGGAGCAGGGGAGGCTGAGGGATATCATTCCCATGAGGGACCTGAGAGCTCATGAAGTTATCCCTCCCTCTGCAAGTCAGCAGTGGGGAGCCTCAGGCCAGTGGACCAAATCTGGCCATCCCAGGGGCCTAGTGCAGCCCACTGAGGTTGACCATGCCCTCTGCCCCTGGCCCTACTCCCTTTGCCATAGTCACCAATCATTTGATGGTATCCCAGGCTTTGTGCAGCTGTTCCCCATCCTACAAGGTTTGCAATACCTCTGCTATGGTTTAGTTATTGGCAGTAAGAACTTTAAGCTACAATATTCTGCATTTTGTGTTTGACCCCTTTTGCCTTTGGCCCTACCTTGCACTGGAAAATGCCCCCCTCCCCCTGAGTTGCTCCAAAATGTATTTGGCTCTTGGGCTCAGTTTCCCCCACTCTGCTATAGGCCAAACATCTGTATGAATACCACAACACACCCCTCACTCACCTATTTCATTAACACTCCTATAACTTTCCCTTACTAATGAAGTACTTACTACTGCTTTTAACTGCTATAAAGCCTAGAAGCAGAGGAAGCATCAACAAAAAGAGACAATCTCCCCACATGCTTGCCTCCATCCATGCCACCTTTTTTTGGGTCCAAGTCTGAAGAAACTCTAGTGGAAGAGGTAGAAGCAAAATCCAAATCTAAGCTGGTGGGTGTGTAAATTGTTAGTTGTGGAGGACTGCGCTGTCTTTTGGCCTTCCTTGGCCTAAACAGCCCTTCTGTCTATGTACTTTCTCCTTCTAACAGACTGTTACTTTCTCAGTTCTTCCTCTTTGTTGGCTAAGTATAGCTGAAAGATGTTTTCTTGCTATTGTCACTGAGGGTTACTTTCTTACTCTCTCTGAGTCACACCCATCTGCAGCAGTTCTACCCCATCCTTACTGTAAAATGATGTGTTCCAGCATGCTCCTTCCAAGAAGCTCAGAACAGCATTTTAAATGCACAACAACCATTAAAGTAAAAGGGCTCAAAGCGAATGGCTTTTCTAAGACTTTGGCGCAAGCCTCACTTAACTGGGGATCTGAATATGTAGTTTTTACATTCAAGCCAAACAATCCCCACATCTGTTCACTTGAGCCAGCAAAACATAGCCTCAACACAAAATATTCTTTCCTCCAGAAACAAACCTTGAGCGCAATGAGCCCAGGGCTACATTACCCACTACATGTGTAAGAGTTGTAGGTATACCCCAAGCATGCAACTGGGACAAACACATATTTCAAAATACATTTATCAGAGAATCAGCATTGAATGCAAGACCCCATCATGGTATATGCCTTTAAATATACCATGAAAGATTCTGGAAGTAGAACTGGAGATACTTAATGAACCTTATTTTAACTGTACTAACTGTTAGATTTATATTTTAGCCTTTATTTGAGAAGCGTAAAGGGGTGTGCATGGTTTATTCTCACAACAAACTCTTTAGGTATGTCAGGCTGAGAGATAATGGCCCAAGCTTATCCAGTGAAATTTAGGGCTGATGGGCAAGTGGAAACCAGGTCTCTCTGGTGGTACATGGATACTCTAATCACTATAATCTGGAGAGGGAAAGGGTTAACCTACCCTGCCCAACATTGTCAGAATTCCCTCTCCAGCCTGAAGTATGCTGTTTTTATTTTAAGTAGAGGATCCAGGTCACAGAAAGCTTATCATCTTGTCCAGATTTGCCTTGGAATATGCATGTCTGAAAGTAACTAAAAGCCTGCTTGTTTGTGCTTACCTTCAAAGTTACTCTGAGGTGAACCTCACTTTCCTGATAATTTACGGGCCCAGCTGAACTGCCTACAAGCCTGAGGGAATATTTCCACCTCTAAGATGATGGCAATAACTGGTTTTCCCCCATGATAGGGTGCTATCCTTTTGCTTCACACCAAGTTCTGCTCTTCAGCTTGAGATTTAATACTCTATTGTCAACTGAATAATGATACCCACTCCCAACCCCTCCTACTCCCTCCGCCCAAGCCTTCACCATCTGCCACACAGAACAGCACCTGCCTTCCGTAAGGTTTTCACAGCTAACGTCATAGGGAAAATCTTCTTATTAGTAAGTGGAGCCATATCCCAGAAGAACATGTGATTAAAAATATTGTCCCATATATGTGGAGCCTTCTTTGCTTTATAGACTAAACAACAGACAGGCCGATAAAAGGGTTCTAGAGGGCCAGCCTGTGAACAATTACAGCATAGAGCACTGAAAGTGATACTCCCACCACAGTTAGAGAAAAAACATGGCAAATAGAGGACAGTTAAAAGCACCTTCCGATATCACTTCACTCAGCTGAACAAAGCATTTGCACGTCCCTTATTACTTCTAAAAATGTTCTCTTTACAGGCTCAATCTTCAGACCATTTTCCCTCAGTAAAAATGCTCTCTGTGAAAAGGCCTCCTGACTTTTCTAACAAATCCTTTGGATATAATGAAGTGAGCAATAGTCTTTACTTCATCATAAATTTGCCATTCTTTGATGGGATTCCATTTTTGTGGGGGTGAGGGTGCAGGCGTGACACTTGCTGCTGGCAGGCTAACATGGCTGTCCCTTGAGAATTTGTTTCCTCAGGTCATATGTTGTCTTCTGTTTTCTTTTGAGGAAATCCTACTTATTTATGCCTCCTATGACCAGCACCTCTACTCATGTTCCTAATCTTGCTCAAGGGGCAAATCCAGCTCTTTTTCCTGATGAAGGATTCCTACCATCCAACAGGTTAAAAGCCACTCAGAGGTGGTGCCACTAACTTCTGGGCCAGGCTCAGAATCTCTGGGCTCTCCTTTCAGAGCTTCATTTGTTATGCACACAACACAGCACTGTACAATTCTATAACCACCCCGTAAAAAAAAAAAGAGAGAAACAAGAAATGAATACATGGACTGCATGTGCTGTAAATTATTCTGATGCAAGATAAACAAGACAATGAGGTGCTAGTGTTCATGATAAAAATTTCTGGAGAAAATTCATAGCTGTGATTTCAAGGTGGGAAGAGCTAGAAGAATCATTCTGAAATTTTGATACATTCTAACCAAAATATGGGGAAGCATTAATTTTCTCTAGGCGGCACTCCTATGCACTTACCTGAGAATAAGGCTTATTGAACACAGCAGGACCTATTTCCAAATAAACATGCATACGCCACTCATTTCTCTCCATCCCACACTCTGCCACACATCACAAAGAGCACATACCCTAAACAGAGCCTCAATTCATCAGCTGTCATCGCAAACAAAAGTCTCCTGAAAAAGGGATTAACCACCTCCAGACTGAATAGGACACAAAACAGAACTCTGACAAGGGTAACTGCTATTCTGTTCAGGTCATTTCTGGGAGTGTGATTTCTTCTGCCCAAATTGTGTCCATTCTAAAGCATGGAATATGCTTTGCATAGAAGGAAGAGGAACCTCTGAGCATATTCAGAGCACATTCCTCTCACTATTAACAGTTATACCCAGCCTGCCCCCAGCTCAAACACACACACATCTTAAATTCTGGAGCAGTACTTTCAAGCAAAGACAGTAACTTCTACAGAGGCAGAAGCTGCAAAAGTTTCCATTACAAAATTAGGTGCTGTGTAAATCAACTCTCTCCCTCTCTTATCTAAACTGCTGCTGTTTTGTGGGAACAAAAAGCATGCCAGGCTTGAAAACACCCCAAAAGATCTTTGGTAGACCAACCCCTGCAGTGGAAGTACAGTGGGGCCCTCAATTGTCAGGAAGAAGCACAAAGAGGCTGCACACTTGCATTCACGAGGAAGATGGTGTCTTATTTATGTTGCCTCCATTGACTTCTTTCAGAAAGGAAAAGGGAGGATGGTAAATCAGTCAGGCGGTCTCCTCCTTCCCTTTGTAACAAATGGGAACAAGAAATAGTGGTTTGTTGTGGAAAAGGTTGGTGGGAGGTCTCTGCTGATCTTCGTACAGCCTCTGTGTGACCCAACTTTCTTCACCCCAAGAACTCACCTGTGTCCGAGGCACCTGTGGGAAGAGATTGAGAGTTGTGGGTCGCTTGGGTCTGTAGGTATCCATGGTAACTGGTGGGGGGTCCTTCTTAATCAGCTCAGGTGCCGAGCTTTCTTCACCAGGGGTTTCCCCAGTCGCATCAATTAGGTCGAGCTGGAGCATCTCCGCCTGGAGACGGCTCGCCTCTCCTCCGCCCACTCCGAGAACGCTACTGGCCTGCAGATTCACATGGCTCTGCCAGGATATGAAAGAGAGGGGGGAGGGGAGAGAGATCATGAGGCTAGGCAGCAGAGGAGAGGGAGCGGGGAGACAGCGAGGTCAGCCAGTCATGTTGCATTTCATCAGCAGGCAGCTAGGGAAAGCAGCAGGAGAAACTAGGCGAGGGTAGAAGGACAAGCAGTCCACCGCTGCAGTTCGGCTTTCAAAAGGGCAACAGCATCAACCTAGGAGCAAATCAGTCAATTTTCCCTTCACGTGCCAAAGATTCTTGCAAAGGCACTTATTTGCAGTGCCAGCATCATCCCTGTAGTTTTAACTGGCAATGTAGGTATCTGTTCCCCCACCCCTATGACTTTATAACAAGTTTTTTATATTACAAACCCAGGGAAATGCAGTTGGAGGATCACAGGCTAGCAGATATTTTCTTCCATTTCATCTATCCCCACAAAGAGAAAATGAAATATCAGGGAGAGGTCTTCCCCGTTTTGCTAGTTTTCTGAGTGCATGCACGCGCATGCATAAGCACACATGCACAATCATTTTCCTGATCAATTTTTCATAATTCTGCCACTCTTTCCTCCATTATTTCAGCAGTGGCATCCCTAAACACCATCCCTATCCTAGAGTCTCACTTAGTACCCACACTGCAGTCTTTTCGGTTTTCTATCTTTTCAGACATTTCAATTTATTGTGAGTGTTCTAAGGGAATGTCTCCTTCTACATGCGCCTGCCTGGACCCTAAGATCTTCTGCACCCTAAGATCATCTCACCTGAAACAGGTGAGGAGGGCTCTTATGAGGAGGAGGAGGGCCTTCTCTGCAAAAGTGCCCCAGTTATGGAACCTGCTCCCCAGAGAGGTGTGTCTGGTGCTGATGCTTTATTAGTTTCGGCGCCAGGCCAAAACCTTTTTATTTTCCCAGTTTTTAAATTAATAATGTATTTTAATTAGTTGCAGCAAGTACTGGCACTTAGGAGTTTTTAACTATTTTATTGTTGTAATAGTGGTTTTAATATATATTTCTATTTTTGTCTTTTTATGCTAACCTTTTTGAGATTTTATAATAATTTGAAAGTATATAATTTTTTAAAACAAACAAACAAGTGCTAGGAACTTGACTTGCTGTTTCATTGTTTTATATAATTGCTTTACATAAGTAGTAAATAAAGTAAATGCCTTTTCTACCTACGGCCTGAAGCTCAGAATCCAATCCTATGAATGTTCAGACAGGAAAATTCCCAGTGCTTCCCAGCCAGCCATTCACTCCTAACAGCCCAAAGGCACAGATTTATCTACAAGGCTAGCCCAGTACATTTTGCTGTCTGAGGCAAGGTGTAAACACTACACCCTCACCCCACCCCACGCCCTGATCAAGCTACCCAGTGGCCAAGGCAGGTCAAGTTGTTGGGCACTTGAGGCATACAATCCTCAAGTGCTTTTTCCCTGGCAGTAAAAATGCAACAGTACTAACTTGGAAAAATAACCATTTGCTGCCCTATTACGACACACAACATCAGCTGCTTAAAATGGCTGCCTCACATTGTCCAACAGGAAGGCCAGCCCCCCACAACTGAAGGACATGAGATCAATGTGATCAGAAATCTGATCTGGTATAGATAAAATGGTATAGATAAAATGCCTCCTGGTATAAATTACTGAAGCTCACTTAGAAACCTTTTAAGTAAAAATATAGGCTTCATGCAGGGACTATTGTGTAACCCCAAAATGGAAGAGCTGCGTACATTTCTTTAGTGAAAAAGTAGTTCCCTTCCATCTATTATTCACCCTGACAGTCTGAATATGGCAACTGTCTCATTTGCTTGTGATTATTTTAGGGAGTACAGTGCTAAGAACACAAAATGCCATTTCAACCATGAAAAAATGTGCAGGAAATGCAAAACCCATGTATGAATTGTCACATCAGATAACTGCACCCTCGTGTATTTCATATGTTTGATACACACTCAGTGAGAAACTATAACCCTGCACACTTTCTAGAGCAGCAGCCATAATTGTCTATTGCAACAAAAAGGGTGTTCAAAGATAGGCAGGACATGCAGATGGTGGGCATGTCGTGAGCGGAGCCGGCTGGAGCCGGGGGTCAGACTAGATGGCCTGGGAGACCCCTTCTGACTCTCAGTTTCTATGTTGATAGCACATGAAAGATCAGTTATATTGTGGGCATAAGCTTATGTAAACTACAGCAAACTTCATCAAATACAACATCCCAGCAGGTGCACATGTAACAAAATAATGTCATGACAATCTACACAGAGGCTTTATGCTATCCTGCCTGGAAGGGTTTGTCACATTTCCAGAGAGCAAACAAGCCAAACTTCAGCTTTGAGTGCCAATAGCAAGTTCTAGAAAGATACAAAACTGTTCCTGACTTCTGCTGCCACCTATAGGGCACTGCCTAGTTTTGCAAGACTGAGTGCCTGGGTATACCAATGGATGGCAGGAAGGCCAATACACTGGGACTCAGTCCAGTCCAGATGGATATACTATTAGTGAGTGGGCTCCTTCTGCAGACAGGTGATATTCAACTTGTTTGGAGGGAGCTGCACTAAAAGGATCAGGGAAGTTTGGTGGCATTCCTAGATCTAACATTGTCATTAGAGGTGCAGGTGGATTCGGGTGGCAGGGCACACCTTTTATCAGCTTGAGATGATATCAGCTACATCCTAATCTGAACATAGATAAGCTAGCTCCAGTTATCCATGCTCTGGCAATCTCTCATCTGGATTACCGTGATGCATCAAATGTGGAGCTGCTTTAGAAACAGACTGGAGATTATTAATAGGGCCCGGCCAACAGGATCATATTATGCCAGTTTGCCTTCATCTACACTGGCTGCCAGTCCATGTCCAGGCCTAATTCAATTGCTGGTATTAACATTCAAAGGCCTAAATAACTTGGGGCCAAGCTACCTGAAAGATCGTATTCTTCCATATATGCCTTCCCAGACCTTCAGTTCATCCTATGTAGTCCTTCTCCAGGAGCCCTGACCAAAGAAGTACAGTAAGTGGGGACTGATAAGAAGAGGATATTTTCCATTGTGGCACTCCAGTTGTAGAATGAGCTTTCCAAAGAGGTTCTTCTGGCACCTAAATTGTGTTCTTTCTGGTGCCAGGTAAAGACCTTTCTATTTTCCTACATATTTTTTTGGCTTCCCTTTTCTGTTTCAAATCTGGAATGTGTAGTCTTTGCATTGCTTGCTACCAGATAGTACCTTAGTTTTTATTTTAATTGTTTAGTAGCTTTAAAATGTTGTAGTGTGTCTTTTGCTACATTTCATGGTCTTCTGTATTGTGAATGGCCCAGACAGTTTCAGCTACTGGAGGGTATAAAAATGCAATAAATAAATAAATAAGTGGGTGGTGAGTTTTCCTGACACCATTAAAGAATGCAGTACTCAGCAAAAACAGATCTTATTGTCTCCCTTGATCATTCTGAAACCATAAATATTGTGTGCTGAATCAGACACTGACAGAGGAAATGCCTTTCTCATTATCTTTCAGTGCTGATAGGAAAGATTTCAGATAACAGGAAATAGAACACTGGTGCTGCTGCAATCTAATTTCAGGTCTGGAGCCAACCCTTTTCCTAAGGTCCAGGTGGGAAGGATCCAAAAGGCACATAAAATCAAACACCTTGCCACAAAACAGGGCTATATTATGGCCAGGGTTCAAAAGTCCTCTGAGGCTGAGGTTTCCAATGGCACAACTCCGAGGAGCAGTCAGAACATGTTCCTGCACCTTCCCAAGGAGGGCTCCCCACCTTGGAAACTGTCCCCCGTTTTCTCGATCCCCATGTGATGCCATTGCCCTCTGACAGCAAGGGGTGAACCTCAGTGTCTTCCATTAGGTAGAATGCCACTAGGGGGCATTCCCCACCCAGTCCTTCACTCTCTAGACCTTCACCACTCAAAAGATGCCTGCAAGTAAAAGACATTGACTCTTTCAGAAAACCAGGTGCAGGACCTGAGGAGGTGGACTTCCCAGAAGGACTCTTCTGGCCAGGCTGTAAGACTTTGCTATTTGCTTGAAGCCAGTGCTGGATTGTCAGGTGAATGAAACAGTAGGCCATGTTTTTTGGGATCATCTGACAGAAGGAGGTTTTTTTTATTAATGAGTTCCAGGGTTTGAAGATCCAAGTTTTTTATTTCTCTTTTAAAAATTATGTTCCCCAATTTAATAATTTTAGGAGCACAGTACTGTTGCTGGCATCTACGCCTACTTGTGAGAATGAGAGGTATTTTGCACCCCTTTTCCCAGCAGGTGGCACTCATGGGACTTTTTTTGGCCTTGATCTACCATTATTCTTTGAAAGAAGGAAAAGAAAAAGCAGTGGCTATGGCCAACGAGTCATCCTTACTTTAGCTGCAGGACTGCTCTCTGTCGTCTTTTAACTCCCTCCAAATCCGGGAGTGGTTCCTGTGGCACTGGCTGCACTGCTGAAAATGCTCCTGTTCCAGTAGCCTGTCCCACATTGTGCCTCCTTGCCTGAGCCATCTCCAGAACAGATGACTGAATCCCAGAAGGAGCAGGGCAAGCCTCCTCCTAATTCTTTTCCTGACTACATCAGGAGCCAGAAGAAAATAGATGTGCCACCAGCATTTAAAAAAAGGGTAGTTGTGGAGCGAAAAGACTTGGTGGATCATGAATACCATGCACAGTTATAGTATCAAAACACAGATGTTTTAATATGAGAACTGAAGGTTGTTTCCTTTTGTTCTGTGCAAGTTTCTGCAACTCCAGCTTCACTGTCCTTCTATAGCACCATCTGCCATCATCATCATCATCATCATCATCATCATCATCAGATTTATACCCCACTTTTAAAAAAGAATGTAGAGTGGCTTACATCATTCTTCTCCCCCTGCTCCCCCTGCATTATTTTTCTCCCCCTGAGAGCCTCTGCTCTGTCTTATCCCCACAACAGCAACCCTGTGACTGGCTCAAAGTCATGCGTTTGGCTCCATGGCTGAGCAGAGGCTAGAACCCAGATTGCCTGG